AGGGGGAAGAGAAACCATTTGGAATATGCTGAAATGCTGAAAGCAATCTGTTTTTGGTGACGAGTCGTTAGAAGTTTTACTTAAGGGTCCTTTCCTATGGATCTTTGAAGTGTTTTTATTGGAAATGGGTGGGCCACAAACAGATAGTTCAACTGTGCTATTGCCAGCTTCCCCCATCATAACCAGATACAATCCTCAAAATTTGCTGTGTAGAAAGACTGTTGTTCCTTTCCCCACAGTTCTAACTCTTACCATTTTACTTTTTGTCCTAGGTAAACAAAGAAACAACCAAAAAAAGTGATTCTCCTACTGATTAAATTCAGTTCCATTTCAGTTTTCCTGACCAATTTTCAAAAATAATAACAAATCAATTTCATTCTTCTGTCTCCCCAAACTCTTGAGTTTTCAGATCAGACAGATCTGGTCATTTAGAAGCATCTTTGGATGCCCCAAATATTTACAGATGGAAATGTGACAAAATGGAAATAATACAAGAAGTTACAAAATTAGTCAATAGGTACTTCCATTCCTTTTCTTTTTTAAATCGCTCAGTGTAAGAAGTAAAACTAGCAGCACTATACCAGGTATGAAGTTTTAGCTTCTCTGGCTGCTGAAGTACCTTTCTGAAAGCAGATGTGGCCCTGAACTGTCAGCTCACAAGCAAGGCTGAATAAGCATGTTCTTCCCTAGGATTATGCTTCATTTTATGATGGAATGTATCTACGAAGGGGAGGGTGATGTGGTGGGTTGCAGCAGAGATCAAGACTATCAGGAAGGAGGGGGTGCATTCCAGGAGGGGAAAGGAGACAGAAGACAACACAGTGCATGGGGCGGGGGGGGGGGAGTGAAACAGGTTCACAATAGCCACTCCCTAGAATCTCCCAGGGTATATCCACTGGTTGCAGCAGTATAGATTTAGTCTGGCAAGATTCTGTCTATAAGGTGTAAGCAAATAAAGGAACTGAACTCAACTGGACTGTTTCATTGTCGTTCTTGGGCTGGGTCTGACACATTTTGAGTCACAGATTTTTGTTATTTCTCTCATTACACCCCATGCTTATTTCAAGTCCCTCACCATATGACGCCATTGTCATGAACCACGTCTCCAGATGGTATGGCAGATCCTTTGTAGTAACAAGGGCAATTAGTGGCAGGCACACATTTGCCACTGTCATCCAGGTATGTCCCTTCTTCACAGGTGCATCCATCCACAGGAGGGAACTTGATGTTGCAGGTGACATCAAGCTCACTCAGACCTCGGCAAGTGGCTTGACAGGTATCAATGTTGTAATGATAAGTCCAGGTTTCAGGACAAATTTGGTATTTGGCTTGAGAAGAGAAAAAGGAAAAAGAATTGCTTCAGTGCCAGGATTCATGTAGGGATTATGGCTAGGAAGTACTAGATATGGCAGGGAGCAATTGCAAATACACACACACACACACCTCTCCAAATCTCTGCATGTACATCAAAACATGTTCTGTTTTATAAAAGTGGCAACTTGAGTAAAATGTGGCTCAAAAAAGAAAAGTTTTATGACCAGTCAGGGTAGTCACTGCCAAATAATATCACCGCTGAAAGAACTACACTGGCTTCTCATTTGCCACTGGCCCAGTTAAAATACTGGGTAACCCTAACCTATAAGACCTAAAGAATCTGAGGGCAGGATACTCCAGGCAAAAGGCCAGGGGGCATGTGAATTCAGCTGTTGAAAAGTAACAGTGAGTCCAGAAAAAGTTGGACAATCAGAATAAAAGGTGGCTAAATTACCCATCCCCTGATGATACAAGGCATGAGAGGCTGCCCATAAATATTTTAAAATAAATAGAACAAAAGTGTTTTATTGGCCTTTGAAGCAAGTAGATGATTCCAGGCTAATTTTGGAGTCAATTTTTTTAAGGCTACTAATTTTTCAGCATATGCTTTTTTCCTCTCTTCTGAAAAATATGACAGCCTCCAGTGAATGGGGAGCTTCGAACAGCATTTTCAGAGCCCGAGTTGAAAACAAGTAGGGACAGGGCTTTTGGTTGATTGTTTCTACTTTTTATTTTAGTTTATGCATATTTATTTTGTTGATTGTCATTTAATTATTTTAATTGTATTTGTGCCTTTTATGTAATAACAAAATATTATTTGGCGGTGATTTTTTTTTCCAAGCAAAACTTAATTAAACAGAAGAAGGCATGGGTATTCTTTTTCCCTGAGCAATATCAAGCACCATGGCACAAAGGCTCTTTTGGAAAGCATTTTCTGTTGAAGAAATGATACACAACTTTTGTCCCCGTGCAGGAAGAGGGGAAGGGAGTCACTTTGGGGACAGCGGTTCACAATGATCCTGACTCCTCCATTCTAAG